AGAAGTATTTGATTGGCAGCAAATGCGGAAACCATATCGTAATGGATAGATATATTCCGACAATTGCTGTTGCGTAAATATTCTGGAAACACTAATGTCTCGTGCCGCCGAATACGTCATCATAATTAACATTAGTACGGCGTGACGGCAAACATTGACAAGAACGACATTCGCGCCGTCATCTTTTAAAATTTCCAACAAAATTAAATTCAATGACGCTATCCCAAGCCCCCATCAGCTCTGTATAAACCCCAATGGGTTTCTTCGTAAACCAAACCATAAAACAGAAAAGCAAAAGCTATACAGTCCTATCCTGCACAATGAGTTCCATCTCTGCATTTTCCTTCCTCTTGTATACTCTCTACTTATTCACCGTGGCCTCCGCAGCCACATTTAATATTCGAAACAACTGTCCTTACGTTGTTTGGGCTGCCGCAGTCCCTGTAGGCGGTGGCAGACGTCTCAACTCAGGCGACCTCTGGCAAATCAACGTAGCCCCTGGCACGACACAAGCCCGCATTTGGGCACGAACCAACTGCCAATTTGATGCCTCTGGAAGAGGTAGTTGCCAGACAGGCGATTGCCAGGGACTCCTCCAATGCAAAGCCTATGGTTCCCCACCCAACACTTTGGCCGAGTTCGCTCTTGACCAGTATGCCAACCTGGACTATATCGACATCTCCAACATTGACGGGTTTAATGTTCCCATGGAGTTTAGCTCCAACTCCCCTGGGTGCAGCCGTGTGATCAAGTGTACTGCAGATATCGTAGGACAGTGTCCAAACCAGTTGAAGGTTCCAGGAGGGTGCAACGGGCCATGTCCGGTGTTCAAGACAAATGAGTACTGCTGCAATTCTGGCAGTTGTGGGCCTACAAACTTCTCCAGATTTTTTAAGGAGAGATGTCCTGATGCTTACAGCTATCCCAAGGATGATCCGACTAGCTTGTTCACTTGTCCCACAGGAACCAACTATAAGGTTATATTCTGCCCTTGAAGGCTTGTTGGAACTAGTCCTAATTAATTAAGCTTTACATTTCTGGAAAAATAAAAGCTTGAAAAATGACTATATATAGTTAGTTAGTCATTTTGAGCATGTCTCCATGTAGTGATGTGCCCTTACACTAGTTGCAATAAATAAATTAGTTCCAGATTTCGAGTTCTATATATGCTACACTATGACTTTGATCAACCTTGCACTCACTTCGCTAAATCTACTTCCTTATTTGCGAGGAAATAATTATATATTTCTCGCTCTTTCCTTTCAACTTCATTTGGCTGATTACAAGTACAAAGTCTGCAGTCAAGTCAGTACAAAGAAGTACGAAATGAATATGAAAACTTTTTCTTGAATATAAAATTTCCGACTTGAAATTCACCTAACTCATATCCCTCCCTTCTTAAATATACATTATATTCATGTTTTATATGTCGAATTACACATTTAAAATGTGGTTTGAATATTAAAATTATTAAATTACTATTAATAAAATAACATAAGAAAGTTTAGAGAAAAAAAATAAAATTTATTTAATATTATTTTAAGAGCACAAATTAAAAGACTGTTTAGCAAAACTTAAAAAGTAATTTATTTAAAAACAAATTTTTCTTTCACAAATTCAAAATTTTATTAGGGAAAAATTCAAAGATAATCACTCCAGCATTGTCATTGTGCCTCCTCTACGAGGACCACCATGCCCAAACAAGCCCTTAGCCAGCAACTCCTAGCTATTGCCACTACCAAGCATTTAAATGCATTAAAACACCATTGTGAGCTACTCTGAATTCACCAACTTCAGCAAAACCCCCCCAATCTTTATTTTCGTCAGAAATAGGCTTGCTTCCTCCTTCGACAATAAGGACAACCTACTTCCCAACACATCCACTAGTTCATCCATACCTTTAGGCATGTCCAATACCACTTCCTTCCTCGAAAACCCCATCACACGAAGCCAACTAGCATTACCTCTCGTTAATGAAGCATCAGCAAGAACAGCCTCTCCGAGACTAAGTATCATCAAAGACGATTCAAAAACCCAAGAAAAAAAATAAAAATCTAGACGGCACGAGGAAAAGAAAAAACAAGCCAAAACCTGAAGAATGAAAGAAATTTAATAGGAATGAAAAATAGAAAGAGATAAGGGCGGAGAATGAGAAAATAGAAAGTGATGGTATATGTATGTATCTCTGTGTGTCTACGTGTGTGTGTGTATATTTATAGTAAAAATTCACTTACATTCAAGTCATGTACGTCATATTCATACAAAATTCTGATCATTATATTTTTATTTTTAATTATTAAGATTTATAATAACTTTTTAATGCTTAGTTTTAATTTTTAATTAATTAATATTTTTAAAAAATTAAAAATTTTCCATAATTTACCAAACAATAACTACTAGAAAAAAAAAAAACTTTATTTCGGACAAAATATTTCGGATAAGAAAATATTTTGACTGAAATAAAACTTAATTTGGTTAAAAATTTTGATTGAAATATGCATTAGTCCGATTAAGAAGTACTTAACATAATAATTCGCTCTAAAATTATTTCAAAAAAAAATATTAACTGAAATAAAAGAGCATCAATTAGTGATATCATTAATTCGATCAAATATTTTATTCGAATTATATTAATAATAAAATAGTAAGTATTTCAATCATAAATTTTAATCGAATTAAATAAGTAATTTTTGTTTTTAATTTAATTATGTTTTTCGATCAAAAATTTTAATTGAAATAATTATCTCATTTTCTTTAAAAAAAATTGTATTAGTGTGGCATTTTCTCTTCTAAATTTTTTTAATTTTCTATGAAATTATTTTGGTCAAGCATCTTGACCAAAATAACTGTCTCTTTTTTTTAAAAAAAAAATAATAATTTGTATTAGTATGATATTTTTATTTTCTATGAAACTATTTTGGTTAAGATGTTTGAGCAAAATAACTGTCTCATTTTTTAATCATATTAGTATGACACTTTTCTTTCCTAATTTTTTTTTTTAATTTTCTATGAAATTATTTTGAACAAGATGCTTGACTAAAATTATATTGTTTGGCTCCAAGAATTAAGTGAAATTTCTTAAACTTTTTGCCAAAATTATTTTAGTCAAAATTTTTATCCAAAATTAATGTTTTGGCTTCATAAATCAAGGGAAACATTTTGAATTGTCCGCCAAATCTATTTCGGTCAAAATTCTTGATCGAAATAATCTAAGTTGTATAAAAATGCTTTAGACACTTTAAACTATATTTTACCCATTTCCTTCTTCTTTCTTTATGCGTTTCCCTTCATTCCGCCTTCCATACTCATCTTTCTCATCTTTCTCTTCCTTTTTATTACTTCCGCTCCTCATTTCTCTTTACTTCCATCATTTGCTTTCATTTCTTCCTTTTTCCCTTCTTCTCCTTTCTTCACTTTCCCTTTTCTTTCATTCATCCCCTCATCCTCTCTTCCATTTTGTCACATTATTTTTTCCTCATACATTCCTTCCTTTAATTTCTTTCATTTTCTTTCTTTCTTTAATTTAAATCTTATTAGTTTATTTCTTTTAAAATTTACAAGTTTGTTTCAATTAATATTGATATCAATTTTATTCTTTACAGGATTTTATAATAAAAATTAAAGAAATTTTAAGGAGGCATCTCATTTGGTACTTTTATTTTTTTTATTTCATTAAAATTTTATAATTGTGTCTTTTTCATTAAGTTTCCCATTTAGTTTGTGGTTTGTGATTAACTATTTCTTGGTGTTAAGGAATGGAGACACTACAAAAAAACCATATTCAATGACTAATTTATTGGTCACTAAACCTTTATTTTCTGTCACAAAATAGAATTAATGATAAAATTTAGACTGTTAGTAAAACCCTTGTCATTAATGCTCTTAGTGATAAATTTGACACCCATTACTGAAAAAAATTTTACAATGACATAAAAAATCAACATTATTAATAGGACACTGATTGGGGCACACTCGGATCCCACACCCGGGTGTGCACCCCCCACATAACCAAAACAAAACCAAAAAATATAGGGATAAAATTACAAATTTAACCTTAAAAAGTCATCTTCCTCACACTAACCATTTCTCCTTCTCTCTCGATTCTTCCTCTTTCTGCAAATCTCCACCTTGTTTCCATTCTCTGATCTGCACCATCTTCTTGCCGATTTCAGCACCATCACAACCTCCATCATCATCCTCGATCACCATTGAAACAGAAGAAGGATTCGACAGCCAAAAACTTATGTCTCTTTACCTCGAGTTTTCTTCCTCCTAGTATTCTGCATATCCGGTTTTTGAGGAGAAAGGAAGGGTTTCGTTTGGGGCAACAACGACTGAAGAATATGGGTTTGTTGAACCCGAGCTGGGTTCTCCAGCAGAACCCAGATCTGGGTTCTGCTGCCTTCGTTCTTGATTTTCTTGAATTAATTAGGGTTTCTCAATTGCTTTTTTATCTTTCGCTACTTCTGATTTTGATTGTTTGTCTTCGAATTTTTGTTAGCTTCGCTTTAGGTATTGGAATTTTAGGAATTTAAGGTATTCAGAGATGAATGAAGGAAAAGGGGAGGATTCCCGTGTCTGATTATTTTGGGGGCAAACATTTGGACTTCTAGAAAATTCCATGAATTTGTTAGACACGGGAGAATTGGAATTGGTAGGAAGAGAATTAGGGCATTCTCGAGCCAACATAGGGGAAGTGAATGCTCGATAAATTTTCTCCTTTTCCTATATTTTCTCGGCATCCAAACAGCGGGATCTAGCATAAAAGTTAATGCATAAAAGATAAATTTGTTAATGTTGCAGATCTCAGAATCTGATTCAGCAGCTACTCACTACAACTCGGAAGACAAATCTCAAATTGAGCTCATGCCTCATCTGCAGTAGAAACCCATATGTGGGTTCTACTGTAGAACCCGATCTAGGTGCTTGAATGCTTGGTTGAATTTTGCTGAGATTTGTTCTTGTTGTAATTTGGGAAATGGGATTAGAGAGAGGGTAAATTTGTAATTTTATCTTTATATTTTTTGGTTTTGTTTTGGTTATGTGGGGCGCACACACCCGGGTGTTGGATCCAGGTGTGCACCACTCATTATCCTTATTAATAAGCTACCGATAACAATTTTATACATCACAAAAATCACTTTTTTTTACAAAAATTTTTGTCACAAAAGTTACCATTAAGTGACAAAAAAAAATGTCACAAATGCAATTAAATATCTCTGACGAAATATTTGACTATTAATTATTTAAACTGATATTGAACCGAAAAAGAGTATTTTTTGTAATTACAATATATTTGTGACAAAAATCTCTTCACAAAAATAGTTAACACAAACATCAATGAATGAGTTTTGTCACAAAAATTCTATTTCAAAATTAAAAGGGAAAAAAAAGCCTCTCCTCTAATCCATGGTTGAAAATAATTTTTCAATTAAAAAATACTTTTGTCAAATTTATAACAAAAATACCTTAAAGATAATTAATTTTTAAATAGAAATTTATTAAGTTTTTAAGTTTTTGACGGTAAAGCAAATATTAAAGTAAAATGATTAGTTGATAATTTTAATAAAACTAATTTATTACAAAATAAAATCAATTAAAAATACAAGTCAAGAAAAATAATGAAATACAAAAAATAATAAATAAATAAAATACAGGTCACGATATGATTGCTAGTCATGTCCACTTCCTTTTCTCTAGTGAAGGATCAAATAAACAAGCAGAAAGGAAATTGCAGCATGTGCTACACTCATTTTTGTGTTTTCCTTCTTGTAGGTTTGGAGGAAGCCAATCCTTGCACACCTTTTCTCTCGATCGTTTCTTGGCCAAAACCTCCGGCCATCTGTTCATGGTATTGGCTAAGATTAATTTTACGATCTTTAAGTTATTAATTGGAAATAATTTGAATTATAAATATACACCAACCTTTAATTGAATTTTTACCCATTTAATTACATTGATTCGGGAAATCTTAAAATACATTCGGGATATTACAGTTGGGTTCATGACTCTGTATGGTTGAGGAGCGGTGGATTCATGACTCTATGGTTGAGGAGCGGCCACCACACTTTATTGTAGCATCTTTGTATTGTCCAATTAGGAATAACCTAGCAAGATTGATTGAAAAATTAACCAAGCTTCCTTCATCCTGCACCATGTCAAAGCTCTTCTTCCTTGGTTTCCTTAACCCACAATTATAACAAAATTTTAATAGTCTCTCAAAATAGTGAACACTATTTACTACCTAGTTTCGAGCTATCATGCCAGAATCAAACAAACAGAGATTTTGAGACATCTGTAAGCACCCTACACCTAAGAAAACCTCTCCATAAAAAATTGTTCACAACAGGTTTGTCAGTCACTATAAGAAAGCCAATTGAACTGTACCAATTAATTCAACGTTACTAGTTGTAAAGTTTATCAATGCTACGATTGTGTGTCTAGACCCAAAACGGAGCTAAGGTGAAATCAAGATCAGATAGTGGAACCCTAGCTTCCCACCTCTTCAAATTAAGGGCATGTTTGGTTTAGTTT